CCCCTCGCATCCATCGTACTCGATGGGAACCTCCTAGGTTATTTCGCGTGAATGGGTGTTTTTATTAAGAGTTTGCTTGCTTAAGGAAAAGAGGGGTTGGTTTATTTATTTTAATGCTCGCCAAGGATTGTAGCCCTTGTGCCTACGTATCCTCACTTAAAGGAAGTGAAGAATCAGAGCTCCGTAGTTCAGAGGCTTATGAAATAGTTGTTTGTCGGTTGATTTTATACCTTGAAAAATGGTTTTTGGATTGATGCCCTAAGGCGAAAATAATAGTTTGATGAGTTGGTGTTATTTTTAGGTTTTTTAAGAGAAATTGTTCTTGACTAGGATTACACAAAAGGACTTTGGACAGAGGTGAATGTTTTGAATAGCCAAGTCGAGCGCCTTGTATCTAAAACATTCGGAACGAGTGTAGGAGGATTCCATTCTTATTCCTTCTCCACCACCTTAAAATCCATGGTGTACAACCCTAACCATATATTTATTGTATTTTGGGTTTTTTATGAGAAAAAAGATCACTTGATGTTGGATCAAGGTTTACTGTTCGTAAAGATATATTTGAAGCGATACAGACAAGGTCGATGGCGATGCGTAAGGCAATCGACTTACAAGGTTAAAAATGGCTCGATAAAATCGAGAGTTTGTTTTTGAAAATGGTTTTTGGAATCAAAAGTCAACAAGGACAATAGCAATATTCACACTAAAATCAAACAAACATATGGGGTTAGTCGGCTAAAAAAATTGAGACATGCAAAAAAAAACTTAAGGTAAAAAACAGCAAAAGAATAAACAAACTGATCAGTTTGCGTCGTGAACCGAGAAAAATGGAAATTCTGTTTTTTTGCATGTTCGCGCCGCGAAGGGTGTTCGCGCCGCAAACTGAGAAAGTTTTCATTCTGTTTTTTGCATGTTCGCGTCGCGACCTGAAGCAAAAAATGCAATATTTGTTGTTTTTTTTGCTGTCTTTTGTGGTTTTCTTTCCTTTCTATTAGTTCTTAAAAATGGTTTTTTGGTTCCCTTAAGACCTCACACAATACACCCAGTACAAACACACTTAACAAATGATAATAAATGGCAAGTGTAGAAATATAAAGAGAGAAAAAGTTTGAAATGGATACCCAAGAGTTTCATTCTTCTTTGTTAAGCTTCCACTGATTTGGTTGTGTGTTTTCTTCCTTCTTCCTTATATGCTTTGAAGGTGCTTCTCCTCAAAGGTTCTCTATGAGTTTCTATGGAACTCTCTTGATTTTTTGCTGGTTTTTTATCTCACTCTTTTTTCTGGTTTTCTCTCTAGGGTTTTTTGCTCTCTTTCTATCTTTTTTCTCAATGTTTAGTGAATGATGAATGAATTGTTTTGCAGCCCCTCTCCTCTTCTTATCCCACTTTTTCTGCTGCCTTTTTCTGCTGTACCAAAACAATAGCTCTTGCACAAGCTTCCATTTTCAGAATTTCCATTCTTGGCAAAATTTATTACCACTTTCTTGGTGCAGCCCCTACCTTTTTCCATTTCTAGCATGCTGTCTTTTTGCTTTTGCTGTATTTTCTTCTGCAGCATTCTACATTGCCATCCATCCTTGTACCCATTGGTTGGTTATGCTTGGACATACTCATGTAGTCAATACCACTACCTTTTGGACAAAATTTTCAAATTCTGATTTTTGATGTGTAGATGCATCAACCTAAGTTTATCCCCTTGGTTTTGTGACATAAAAATAATTTTGTAACATGATACACATTGTCACTTCTTGCATGGGGCTGTTTTCGATTGCATTCATATTGCCTATGGTTGAACACACACATGGTCTTGATCTTGAAACATACCAATGTTAACTCTTAAGTATTTTTCTTTGGATGTTTGTGGGCATAATGTAGCACATGAAAACTTGGTGTGGCATGAAGATTACCATATCATGGATTTGATTAGAGACTTGAATGAAGATTAGAAATAGATTAGTTTCTAAACATTACTTAGAGTTGGAAATCTTGTAACAAATGACATTCTTGCAAATTCATGAAATTTCTCTTTGTAATATTCTTGAATCTAGTCTTGAATTCATGAATCTTGGACTTGGAATGATGGATTCTCTTATGCCATTATATAAAATAAAGTCTTGAATTATGCACTTGTGATCTTGACTCATGCTTTGCAAATTTGAACTCCACTTGACCAAGAATTTGAAACAAAATTGGATGAAGCAAACTTGAATTTGGCCTTGCATTTCATGTTCATTAGGAATATTTATCTTGAATATCCCAATATTTATCAAGTAACTTCTTCTTGAAGTAATCTACATGAGTAGACTTTCCAACTTAGATCAAGCCTTAGGTGATGAACCTTTTCTTCCATCTATTCCATGATAGGCAATCTATCTTATTAAAAATGGAAAATAACAAATCGACCCAATCTATACCTTATGAACCCACATGCTCGATATGCAATAGAACGATGTATGATATGGCGAATGTAGGGTATAAAGGCTAAAGATGAAAATGAGGGTGTGACACACAAGAACAATGCTCAACAAAAGGAAGTGAATTTGACATGGATTACATTAAAAATGTTGTTATAGAGAATAAGAGAAAGATCCACATTGATGGATATAAACACACTAAGAAGAGAAGACAAAATTGTATCTTTTGTCTCTATGGGTTTCACACACTTGTTGCTTTCACCAAAAATACAACTATTTAAATAAAAGATGGAAAATGAGTTCCACGAAGCTTTAATTCGAATCAAGAAGAAATTTTAATTCAAATCAAATTGAGCATAACCCAAATATGGGTTCGTGAATACATTTGATTTGAATCAGGATTTTAACTTAATTCAAATCGCATGAGGTTGTGATTCGAATCATGTTCTATATGTGATTCGAGTCAATTTGTCCAGAGGCGATTCCCTTTTTTCACAAAGCTTTTAATTTGAATCATGATTAACGTGATTCAAATCAATTACCTCAACATCCAAATTTAAAATCTCTAACTTGTGATTCAAGTCACTCTTGATGAAACGACAAAGTAGCAACTTATTAGGCTATAAAACAAACAATACCATGAATCAAAAGACTCTTATTTAATTGAGCAAGTAAGGTTCTTATGGTACAACAACATAATAGCCGAAGCAATTACAATTAAAATTAAATACAAATAAAGTACAATCACACAAATATTAAATGAGAAGCAAATTACAAATACGTAAATAAACTAAAACAACTACATTCAAATTGACAAAAACATCACAAAAAAAAATAAGCGATACCATACGATATCATAATTGCACTTTCAGTGTCATATTTGTCTCCCAGTCCAAGAAACTTAACATCACATTTCTCCCTTGTCGTAGCTTCACCTATGTATACGAATAGGCATAAAATCATTGTTGTTGGTTTTGTCAACAACAATCACAGGATTTATGTAAAGTTGAAATCTGATTGCCCATTATGTCCCGTCACTGACCGTTGACGACAAAATTGTACTGAATATGCAAAAGTAAGAGAAACAGCATATGCATGACACATTAGATACTAGAAAGACGAAGTTAGAAAATCATTCTAATTTATTTTGTATTATTATATATAACACATTTTTTATTTATATATATATATATATATATATATATATATATATATATATATATATATATATATATATATATATATATATATATATATTGATCTGACCTGATCAGAAGGGGATCACGGGCCGGCCACACTCTATTGGACTGCTGCGTGCTCATCGGTGCTGAGGAGAGAAAAGGGGGGTATACCTGCAAAACACTCCGATGTCAAAGTAAGGAATTGGGCAGAGCGAGAGTAAAGTATAGAAATTGGGCAAGAAGTGAATTACCTGACCCTCTTGTGAAAGAGGGTATTTATAGAGAGACCCCAGCGCTGGGCCAACGGTCATTTGAGGTGGGCTGGATGACCAGGCCCAACCCTAATGACTGCTAGGGCTTACGTGGCGTAGTGAAGACCGGGACGTGGTCTTCGCCCTAGTCCAACTGCTCCATGATCTCCGGAAAGCGGGTTTGACCTGTTCTTTCGGAGGAGGACAGTTGGTTGATGACGTGTCCCCGCGGAGGGGAGCACGTTGTCCTCCCCGCAGGGGGGGGAGCCCGGGAGGTTCCCCGGAGGGCGTTGTTCTCCCGGCGGAGGGGAGTTCGGGAGGTTCCCCGGAGGGCGTTGTTCTCCCCGCGGAGGGGAGGAACCAAGGCCTCGTTTCGATGCGCTGGGGTGCGTCCTGTTCGGCTGATAAGAGGGGACGGCGAGAGGCTGTTGGATGCGTCGCCAATGTCCGGTGGTGCGTTCCGCCCGTCCTGCGGGACGCGCGTGCCCGGCGTGGCCAATTCGCTTATTGGGCCGTGCGAGGTATTGGGCTGGACCGAGGTCGGGCCCAGGCCAGAACATATATATATATATATATACATATATATATATATATATATATATATATATATATATATATATATATATATATATATATATATATATACATATATATATATATATATATATATATATATATATATATATATATATATATATATATATATATATATATATATATATATATATATATATATATATATATATATATATCACAAAATTAATATATAAAAAAATTCAATCCCTCAATTTCTATTAGGATATACAAAATTTCTAAAAAATTTGGTACGTACCAAAAATTTTAAAAAAGTTGGTATTTCTTCATAAAAACAAAAATTGTTGGTATCCTTTGCGATTCCATATTATTGTACGCGTTTACAAAATTTTCGATATAGTTTTGAAATTTTCAATACAAACTTTTATGAAAAGTCAATAACTTAAAGAAGGATATAACAGTAAAACCACGTATATTGTGGGGTGGAGGGTATAACGCTGGTGAGAGGTTATTATCGTCTTTGTCACCCCCTATGTATTAAGAGCTGATAACAACTCCTAAATACATAAGACGATATCAATTCTGCCACTTAAAATCCCCTTTGCCCTAAAGTCTCATCCATGGCTCGTCGCAGCTCCGGCGGTAACGTTCCGATCTTAATTCTGCTTTTAACATTTTCCTTCTTATTTCCCGTTATCTTCATTATACTCTCCCCTACCATTTTTATGCTGTAATTTCGCCCACCATGCCTCTTCGTAGCTAGGTTTTTTTTATTTTTTATGCTTTCGGATTTTGTTAAATTGGCGAAAAAAATTGTGGATTTTGTTCCTTTTAGCTTGTATATGCGAAATATTTGATCCATTTGTTGTTGTTATTTTTTAGCTGTTTCTCGCCTCATTATCAGAAGTTTTGATTATTTTCTTTCTTGTTATTGCTTTTTACTTTGATTGTTCCGTGGTTCAGGTCGATCCACAAACAAACCCTACATAATATTATTGGTTTGATTTAGGGCTATGTGTTGGGTTAGATTGGTTGTGAAATGACGAGAACCTCATATGGTGCTTCTAACCCAACCTCGTGTGTGAGACTATTTTGGCCAGCCTGGAATACTATTCAATTGAGTCCATTACTATTATCTCACCATTAATATTACTGTATTTTTATTAAAGTGAAGCAATGAATGTTGGTTTGATCAATATGGATCATCATATGGTAAACTGTTTGTGCAAGGTTTCGAGTGAGCTAATGATTGGACCACCTTTATTCTTTCTTCTACTTTTTCCAAGTTATGTGATCCTATTGAATTGTTTCTTACTGTAGGAAGATCTGCACGTCCAGCTCCCCGTGCCGCACCAGCTCGCCCCGCTCCAGGTAAGCAATACAAAGAGTATTTCAAACTTTGTTAAAACAGTATAGCTTTAAGAAGATACATTTGTTGTTGTCCAAACACGACATTGATATTTTTTTTTTCCAATTGAGATCTTGAGTGATGGGGTACGCAACGTTTCTAATAACACTGTCTCTAAATTTTGGTGCAGTCAACCATGCTCCTCCTCCGGCTAATGTTCAGAGTGGCGGTGGATCTATGCTTAGTGGTATTGGTTCAACCATAGCTCAAGGTATGTAAAGCAAACCAAAAGTTGGTTTTGCCGTATGGATCCATATAAACATTCATGCTCTTGTTTGGTACTAAATTTCATATATTTTGCAGGTATGGCTTTTGGCACTGGAAGTGCAGTGGCACACAGGGCTGTGGATGCGGTTATGGGTCCTCGCACTATTCAACATGAAACTGTAGCTAGTGAGGCTGCTGCTGCTGCCCCTGCACCAACTACCAACTCTTTTGGTGGTGATGCATGCAATATTCATTCAAAGGCTTTCCAGGATGTATGTTGTTTCCCTAATTCTGTTATTTCCTGATAATTCCTTTTGTTTAAAATAATCAATAGTTTTTAGTAAATATTTAATCTGCTGTTTAACATTGAATATATGTCTCGAAATAATATATCAATCACATACCTTAAAAGATTGTGGATGTTAATGAAATCTTTATATTTGCATTGTCTGATTGTTATAAGTTAAGTATCCCTCATGTTCATTGTGGATTTCCTAGTGTAATTTCTTACTTGTGCTGATGACAAACATGTTATGTCGTTGCAGTGCCTGAACAATTACGGAAGTGAGATTAGTAAGTGCCAGTTTTATTTGGATATGCTATCAGAATGCAGAAAGAACTCTGGATCCTCAATGAGCATGTAACTGCCTTTGGCATGTTTTGGAGTATGCTTGTGTTCTCTGTCTGTTTACAACTAGTGAAAGATATTAATTTCAATAAATTTCTATTTAACTGGTGACAGACTTTGAAAGTTGCATCGAACTATTGGTTAATTTTTTATTGATACTTGACCGTTGTTCAGTCTCAAATTTGTCTTTTGTTTTATTTTTTATTGATGCTTAAAAGTTGTTTATTCTCAAATTGCTCCGTTTGTCAGCATGTTTGTGTTTTCTTTTAACTTTGAAAATGTTACAACACATCCTCACTGATATTTGTATTGAAGAAATAAAATATTTGGATTATCTTCTACATGTATTATTCTACAACAACATAAAATGTTGCAGGAAAAAATTTAAGAAATAAAATGTTGCAGGGAAAAATTTAAGAAATAAAATGCTGTAGAGAAAAATTGTGGTAGAAGATTCAAATATCCATCTTTGTATTGATTTTCCTGCATGTGTTTGTTTTATAAATTATTATGAAAGGGATGCTTAATTGTATATTGTTTTTTTTCTGGCCTAGGCCTTGGTATGATCAGGCAGGCCCAACCCAATGGTATTTGGGGAAGGCCCAAGCAGGCCCATATCACCAACGTCAAATACAATGGGCTCTGTTGATCAGATGCTGCCCTTGGCGGGCAAAACCTTCCTTCCTTTGGGTAGAACAACGTGTCCTTTACACGTTCTCCACGTGCTCTCTTCCGCAGGGACACGTCTTCATCCAACCACCCACCTCGGCGAGAGTTGGTCAACCCACCTTTCAGAGATTACAGGATGGTTGAACTAGGACGAAGACCACATGCTAGTCTTCACTATGTCACGTAAGCCCTAACATTCACTTAGGTTGAGTTTGACAATTCAGCCCAACACAAGTGATTGTTGGCCCTGCGCTGAGATCTCTCTATAAATATCCCATTTCACCAGAGGGTCAGATATTATATTCTCTACACATTTTCTCTGTATTTGCTTCACTCTGGTCCTTTCTCATTTTGGCATCGGAGTGTCTTGCAGGTACACTCCTTTCTCCTTCTTACCACCGATGAATAGATTGTAGATTAAAGGCGCGTGGCGGTCCATTGATTCCCTTCTGATCAGGTTAGATCAGTGGCGCTGTTTCTGGGAACCAAGCTTCCCCGTTCCTTCGAGCAGAAAACCAAAGCTTTATTTCAACTATTTCAACTTCAGGATCATGACTAGCCCACGCCATGACGACGTTGTTCACAACTCCTCCGTCGTCCCCGCCGCCAACGGCGACGATCACATAGGGACATCTCAACTCCGTGAGACCGACGTTAGGGACGACTAGACTGCCTCCCCTTCCTCTGAGGACGCACCGCACCACGACGTTCTTCGGGCAAGAAGTCCGACAGTGTCCCAGCCCATCCCCACTCCGGCCGACGCGGACCTGACGATGGTCGCCCTCTTTGCGGCCATCAACCAGACGAACCAGATGTTGTTCCAGCAGAACGAGCGCATAGGCGCGCTGGAACACGGCACCTCATCCCGCTCTCCTCCGCGGAGAAATCAGCGCGAGAACTCTCGGAGCCCTTCTCCCCAACCACGACAGCATCAACCACAATTAGAGAGGCCCCAACCCGTGGCCTCCAAGAAGCGAGCGAGGTCGCCGGCTCAGAAGGACATATGCTCTCAGGAACCGAGGAAGGGAGACCCGAGGCCCCTGTCCGGCAACCGAGGGTACGAAACCAGCCTCCTCCTCGGCATGGGCCTTCACCCTCTCAGTCCCCGATCCTCAGCGACGAGGACCCCGCTGTCCCAGGAGATCATGGCAGCTCCCATCCCCCACGGGATGGAGAGACCTCCCATGCTCTCGACGCACGACGGAACCTCGGATTCGGACGACCATCTGGAAGACATTGAGGCTATGCTCGACTACCGAAACGTCCGGGGAGCCATCAAGTGCAGGCTTTTCCCAACGACCCTAAGAAAAGGCGCTATGACGTGGTACAAAAGCCTGGAACCGGAGTCTGTTACATTGTGGAGGGTCCTAAAAGACCTGTTTTCGCGACACTTCATGGCATCCAGACGCCACCCGAAGACAGAGGCAGCGCTGGGCGTGATCATCCAGGCCCTCGACGAGCCCCTCAGGAACTACATTGAGAGGTTCACGAGGGAGGCAGTCCAGGTGACCACTTCTGACGAGATGAAACATTACCTGATAGAGCAGGGGCTACGCCGAGATTCAAAATTCTACGAGGCTGTGGCGATCCACCGGCCAGACTCCCTTCAAGACTTCCTCGACAGAGCACGTCATTATATCCGATTTGAGGAGACGCAAGCTGCCAACACTGCCCGCGACACCCGAAACAAAGAAGCTCCCCGGGGATCCCGAGAAGAAAAGACCTCGGGCCAACGCCGCGGGGTGGGGTGGGGGGGACAAACGACGAGAAGACCGCCCCCGAGAACCCCGCGGGCAACGGAGCCTCGTTGGGAACTTCACCGAATATAGGGTGTTGGTCGCTTCCCGCGAACGTATACTGGCGGAATGCGCCAACTCAGAATTCGTCCGAGGAGGTGTCCGCTTTCCAAAATCGGCACCCACCAAAGCCAACGTGGACAAATCAAAGTATTGTCGCTTCCACCGAAGTCACAGCCACGTGACAGAAGACTGCGTCCATCTGAAGGACGCGATCGAAAATCTGATCAATGACAGGCATCTGAAGAGGTACACCCGGGGAGGGGACCCACCACGACAGGAGGCCCCCGAGGCTAAGAAAGTCGAGGATCTCCCTCCTCACGATGACTCCGGCCTACAGGTAGCCCTCACCGTCGGTCGACCAGAGGATTGGTTCGCCCTAAGAGAGTTCAGCCTCTCCGCCGAACTTCAATTACCCGAGGAACCGGTACGCCCCACCAGCCAGTGGGAATACTTCCCGAGAGCAATGGTCATCTCTTGCGGGACCCCGAGCAAACTCTCAGTGGGATCAGTTAAGCGGTAGTTTGATGAGCTCATGAACAACAACTCCGGCAAGATGAGCACCATCGACAAGTTTCGAGGTCGTTCCAACCCGATCACTTTCTACCTCGCGGAGCTCCCCGGGGGATCCCCAAACTCAAACATCCCCTATTGATCCGAGCACAGATGGCTAACTTCGATGTCCGACGCATCCAGGTTGACAGGGGGAGCTCGGTGGACATCATGTACACCCATCTCTTCGCGATGCTTCAGCTCGACGAATCCAACTTATACCCCTACCTAGGCTCCGATCTACATGGCTTCAACGGGACGACGACGAGACCGTGAGGGTACGTGGAGCTCAAGGTCACATTCGGGGAAAAGGAAACGGCCAGGGAAATCAACGTCCGTTTTCTGGTCGTCGAATGCCCGTCTCTATACAACTGCATCTTGGGCAGGACAACGATGGCCAAACTTACCGCGGTACCATCAACCGTCCACCTAAAGATGAAATACTACACCAGACTTGGAGCCGTTGTCACCCTCAACGGGGATATCGAAGCCGCCCGTCGATGCTTCGACGCAGCGATGAAGGGCCTCAGTACAATCAGCCCCCCGACCAAAGCAACCAAGCCACCTCCTGCCCGAGAGGTCAAACCGAAGAATCACGTCGACGCCGTGGACCTTGACTGCCGTTTCACCGAAGAACCTAACCACGAGGACGAATCCGGCGAAACCAACGGGCAACCTTTCCACCCAACGCGCCACATTCCAGACGGGGACTTCGAGCTCGTAACCCTCGGGGCAGACGCAACGAAGACCGTGAAGATTGGGGCGGGATTGCCCGACCTGGCGAGGAAGCAACTAGAGGCCTGCCTCCGTGAGAATGCCGATCTCTTCACTTGGAGCGCCGTAGAGATGCCCGAACTCGACCCCGAGGTCGCCTTCCACCAGCTCTCCGTCAACCCGGCCGCGAGGGCCGTAGTTCAACGTAGGTGTAGGCAGTCCCCCGAAAAGTCGGCGACGGCTAAAAAAGCTGTAAAAGACCTCCTAGAGGCAAATTTTATTTCGGAAGCCCGATATTCAAACTGGCTGTCCAACGTTGTACTCGTTAAGAAAAATAATGGAAAATGGAGGATGTGCGTTGACTACACAGATCTCAACCAGGCATGTCCTAAGGACGCCTACCCCCTCCCCAACATTGACAAGCTCGTCGACAACTCAGCGGACTTCAAACTACTGTCCTTCATGGACGCATACTCGGGGTACAACTAGATACCCATGGCCGAGGCCGACAAATAGAGCACGACTTTCATGACCGAGTCGGGCAATTACTACTACAACGTAATGCTCTTCGGCCTAAAAAACGCCAGCGCCACCTACCAGCGGATGATGAACAAGGTCTTCCGAGGAGAGATTGGCGACATGCTCGAGGTTTACATGGACGACATGATCGACAAGTTCTGCACGGAAGTCGACCACACGACACATCTCAAGAAGGTGTTCGAGACAATGAGGAGGTGTCAGATGCGTTTCAATCCAGAGAAGTGCACCTTCAGGGTGCGCGCGAGGAAATTCCTCGGTTTATATCTGACCGAGCGGGGGATCGAAGAAAACCTGGACAAGTGTTGGGCCTTCTCCGAGATCGCGACGCCGAGCTCGAAAAAATCGATACAGTCCCTCAACGAGATGCTCGCATCACTGTCCCGCTTCGTCGCCAAATCTGCGCAGCACACCCTCTGTTTCTTCAAGTTGCTAAGAAAGAAAACCGCTTTCGAGTGGACAGAGGAATGCTAGCAGGCCCTACTCCACCTCAAATGCATCCTGTCGGAGCCACCCGTGTTGACGAGGCCAGAGGCCGGGGAAACCTTATACTTGTACCTGCTCGTGGCGAACGAAGCCGTCAGCGCCGTACTGATCTGAGAAACCCCTAAGGGGCAGAAACCGATCTACTTCACGAGCAAAGCCCTCCACGGCCCCAAGGTGAGGTACCAACAGATCGAGAAAGTCGCCTTGGCCCTCGTCAATGCAGCCAGACGACTCCGACATTATTTCCTGGCACACACCATCG